TGGCCTGCTGTGTTCATCCAGCTCTGCACCTTGTTGTCAGGGGGAGATTGTCACCCTGCTTCGCGGACAGGGTCCTGATAGCGAGGAGGAACGTCCTCTTCACCCAACAGCAGCAGTAGAGGCTGTGCCACCGGATCATGTCAGCCCGGTCCCAGTTGGCCAGCTGGGTTAAAGCAGTCTCCACAGTCTGGAGGGATGCCGGGCACCATAAGGAGAAGGTCAATGTCCTTCTCCACTCCTAGTGCCACTGCCATCTCTCCGATACCTCACTCTCGAGCTGCTGTGTCCACCTCACACCAATGAGGCGAAGGCAGTGAGAATGGGCTGTGTTTGGATTGGCAGCAGTTGCCCAGCTGCAGACGTGGGCTCCCTCCTGCGATTGGAGTTGGCAGCAGCAACAAGGATGGTCCTCCCACTGGTTGGGGCCAGTGGTGGCAAACCTCCTTTGGTCAGCCAGTACTTCAGGCTCAAAACACCTTTTTTATGGCGATAAGGCTTAGACTTTAAGATCTGGATGTTTTCTTACCTTTTTGGCTTTCTTTATTTCTGCTGTCGTGTTTTTTATTAAAATTCCGGTTTTGTAAGCAAGATGGCACTGGAGAATAGTGACTTTGTACACTTTGTACTTGTGTATTCCTCTCCTTGAGTACATCTGACAATAACATTAATTCTAATTCAACACTCGTGCTCTACCATGCTCCCCATTTTGTGTGCAATGTCTTCTGTCACTTGCTGTCATCTCTCAGCCCCGAAGTCACTAACCCCACCTGCCCTCTCTGTGCTGCCAAATCACTCACTTGATCCAACTCCCCACCTATACCAATAGTAACAGCTGTGCCAGACACTTTTTGGTCTCACTTTACACCCGCTTCTCTCCTCATTCCAGGTGGACAACAACCCCCAGTAGGGCAGAAGGACTCAGAACATGGCGGACTGCCACACATTTGCCAACTCACCCCTTGTGTTGGGAGCATCCTGACTCTGACTGCCCCAAGTGAATGGCTGACTGTTTCCAAACCCTGGAGTACTATCAAAGGCTGCTCTTCCCTTACTATACCAGGGTACCCTTTTTTTTTGTGAAGACTATCTCTCTTCACTTAACTGAGGCCTGCTAACAACTGTGGCAAGCTTCCTGGTTTTGTGTCTGCACGAAATGGCATGGCAACACAAGTGAATGCGCTTGGTAGCTCTGTCTGAGGGGTCCAAATTACAACAATGTAAGGCAAAGCAGGCATGTCTTTAGCATCTGGGGAGACCTAGAATGAGTGAGTGTTGTGACAGTGAGCAAAATACCCAAAGATGCAGGCTAGCCCAGTCCATGGATGTGTATCCCTGAGAGTACACTGTCCTTACTGGAGCATTACAATGAGAGTTGCCAGTGCAGGCCAAGGTGCACCATTGAAGTGCAGAAGTATCCTGTAGAGGATTGGAGATATTCCATGCGGGTTGTTAGATTCTGGGTCATGTTGGATGCCAATGTAAATGGATGTAGGAGATGTGTTTGTTTGTATCTGGTGCCCATGGAGCATGTCCTGAGATAGAGTCACAGAGATATATAGCATGGAAACAGACCCTTCGGTCTAACTGACCCAGATATGCTGTATAAATCTAGTCCCATTTGCCAGCATTTGGCCCATAATCCCTCTAAAACCCTTCCTATTCATATACCCATCCAGGTGCTTTTTAAATGTTGCAATCGTACTAACCTCCTCCACTTTCTTTGGTAGCTCATTCTATACACGCACAACCCTCTGCATGGAAAATTTACCCCTTGGGTCTCATTTAAATCTTTCCCCTCTCTCCTTAAACCTATGCTCTCTAGTGTTGGACACCCCCACCCCGGGGGGCAGAAAGACCCTGCCTATTGACCATATCCATGCCCCTCATGACTTTATAAACCCCTATAAGGTCACCCCTCAGCCTCTGATGCTCCAGGGAAGATAGCCCAGCCTATTCAGCCTCTCCCCATAGCTCAAACTCTCCAGGCCTGGCAACATCTTCGTAAATCTTTTCTGAACACCTTCTAGTTTCACAACATCTTTCCTATAGCAGGGAGACCAGAATTACACACAATACTCCAAAAGTGGCCTAACTGATATACTCTACAGCTGCTACATGACCTCTCAAGTCCAATAAAAGCAAGCATACCAAACGCCTTCTTCATTATCCTATCTACTTGCGACTCCGCTTTCAAGGAACTATGAACCTGCACTTCAAGGTCTCTTTGTTCGACAACACTCTCCAGGACCTTAGCATTAAGTGCACAAGTCCTGCCCTGATTTGCCTTTCCAAAATGCAGCACCTCACATTTATCTAAAACTTCATCTGCCACTCCTGGGCCCCTTGGCCCATCTGATCAAGATGCAGTTGTACTCTGAGGTAACCTTCTTCACTGCCCACTACACCTCCAATTTTGGTGTCACCTGCAAACATACTAACCATACCTCCTATGTTCACATCCAAATCATTTATATAAATGACGAAAAGTAGTGGTGTTGATACCTGGTGTCCAACATGAAGATCATTCGGAGAAAGCGATGTACTGAACTTGACGGGTGGTCACTTGGGTTTCCCATGTATATTTTGGTGAGTTTGGTAAGATAGAAAGCTGAATGTTAATAAGGTTAGTTGGGCCAACAACAAGGCATTTGACAGGCAATGATGTTACTTAATTTGCAATTCACTACTACCTCATGGGAAACTTGCCATTTGTCAAAACATAAAGAATGGAATAAGGTGTTTTTGACTTGATGGGCCTAGCCTGATTCAGTCATAAATTATACAAGAGCCCACATTGCTCTGACCCCTGTAATATTTCACCCCGAAGAGTCTGGTCAGATGCACTTGCTCACATGCTGTGTGATTGGCCTTGTCCTACCAAATGTTTGCTCTCAACTATTGAGAAAACATTTGAGGGGAAATAGATATCTGGTTCAGATTAAGAAGTTATTGTTACACCAGTGGGTCATCCTCTCAAAGTTTAAAATTTGGTAGAGAGATAATAGCTCTCCCTTTTGAGAGAGACAATTGGTGGTGGTTTTAGCTGAGGGTCACCACACCTGAGATGAGGGGAAAGATTGAAAAAGTGTGGCCTTCATGGTCATCTCATCTGGTGTGGGCATTGAGCCTCACAGAGTCATACAGCACAGAAACAGACCCTTCGGTCCAGCTTGTCTCTACCAACCAGATATCCTATACTGATCTAGTTCAATTTGCCAGCATTTGGCCCATACCTCTCTACCCTTCCTATTCATATACCCATCCAGATGCCTTTTTGAATGTTCTAATTGTACCAACTTCCACCACTTCCTGTGGTGGTTCTTTCCATACACGCACCACCCTCTGAAAAAGTTGCCTCTTGGGTTCCTTTTAAATGTTTCCCCTCTCACCTTAAACCCATGCCCTCAAGGTTTGGATTCCCCTACCCTATGAAAAAGACCTTGACTATTCACCCTATCCATGCCCTTCATGATTTTATAAACCTCTATAAGGTCACCCCTCCACTTCCAACACTCCAGGGAAAGTAGCCCCAGCCAATTAAGCCTCTCCCTAAAGCTCAAACCCTCCAATCCTGACAAACATAAAATGGTCATACCACATACCAGACAGATCAGTATAATTGTACCATTGAGTATCTATGGCAAAACCCAATGAAATTACTGATGTTAATTCATTCATATGTTCACATTGGATGTGTGCTGTTTCCTTAAAAATCTTCATTTTTCTCTCTATCTCCAGTCAAAGTGAAGTGAGAGAGCTATGGACCAGGTTGCGGAGAGACAAGCCTGAGCTGCTAGCTAACTTTGAACAGTTTTTATCTAAAGTTTCAACACATATCCAGGAGATGCAAAATGACAGGGCAACCATGGAGCAGGCATTGAAACGGTAATCAATTTAATAAGCTCACATTGGGGCGGCACAGTGGCTCAGTGGTTAGCAGTGCTGCGTCATAGCACCACGGACCTGGGTTCGATCCCAGCCTTGTGACTATCTGTGTGGAAATTGCACGTTTCTGTATGGATTTCCTCTGGGTGCTCAGGTTTCCTCCCGCAGTTCAAAGATGTTATGTGAATTGGCCATGCTAAATTGTCCATTGCCTCCAGGGATGTGCAAGCTGTGTGGATTACCTGTGGGAAATGAATGTGATAAGGTGGATGGTGGATCTGGGTGGGATGCTCTTCAGAGGCCCTGTGTGGACCTAATGGGCTAAATGGCCTGCTTACACACAGTATAGGGATTCTGTGATATAATCACATTGTGCCTTGCATTCAGAAATTGACTTGGTCCCTACCATTATTCAGCAATTCCCATTGGAAAGTGCGTATTTACAGGCACAGGATGAAGCTAGTATTGAGTCAGGCCATAATGTCTTCTACACTAATGGTGCAGAGTTGATCCCCACTGTGTCCAGTCATATGTGAAGAGTGGGCAATTGGGTAGTTAAATTCCTGAGAGGAGAGATAACAGCAAGAGGTATATTGTAATATAATGCAAAGGCATTAGAAGCTCAACTTTAGGTTTTCTACTGATCCTCTTGCTCCTTTTTTTTTGCATTCCTGTCTTTAATTTGATTAGTTTCTTTGTTCATCACCAGTTGTTTTATTGGCAAACATCAAAGAAGGTAATTCTGAACTGATTCATTTTGTTGAGTATCTGTCTCTTGTAGCAAGTGGTATACAAGTGTGGAACAAAGTTTTATCATCTTGTCTGAAGCTCCTTTCCTGTATCTCAAATGCAGGAAGGAGTGTGACCATGATCGAGAGGTTCGATGCTTATATGAAGAAATGGAGCAGCAGATTAAGAGAGAAAAAGAAAAATTGTTAAATCAGGTAAATGTTTAATTTTACTGTGGGGAGGTGGTGCACAGACAATTCAAGTCCCCTCTCTTTGTTAATCAGCTTTTAATAATGTTTATTTCTGCAGAACTTTGAACGTTGATTGAAATTTTCTTAGATCCATTGCCAAGAAACAGAACCTAATATTTCTAAAATAAGAATATTTCTTCAGAAGAAGCGTCTAGGCCCGAAACGTCAGCTTTCCTGCTCCTCTGATGCTGTATTCGGTCTGCTGTGTTCATCCAGCTCTACACTTTGTTATCTCAGATTCTCCAGCATCGGCAGTTCCTATTATCTCTAATATTTCTAAAATTTGGCATAACGAGTGAATATTTTATTCAAACCATCTATTTGGCTGTTCTGTCGTTTGCAATATTGTGATAGGTATTCACAGTGCTACTAATATTCTGCTATTTTATGGTGAGATTACTTAATCTGACCGCTAGGATCCTATAAGTCAGTCACAAGCCAAAGTTAAGGTGACAAAGGGGCTATTTGATTACTTAAACAGATGGAGTTTACAGAAGAATTTTGTTAAAAGACTGTTGAAGCAATCAGAGTAGGAGATCCATTTGGCTAATGAAGGAAGAATTCTTTTGGGCCACAGGCAGCAGGCTTTACTTGGGAAAGTTTTTGAAAAGGACATTACCCAAGCATTACTTATTAGATCGTGAAAGGTGGGACGTTATCTATTGAATCTTGCATTGTGACTTAAAATTGCATAAACTCCTGGAATTGAAATATAGAATTGCCATATTACAGAACTTCATTTGTTAAAAGAAAAAAACAACCAGAATTGATATACTGTAAGATTAAAGTGTCGTGAATGAAAGCAGCATTGAGATAGTAGACAATTACAAAACCTTTGAGGTCAATAGAATAAATAATAATGTTATGAAGAACTGGCATAGTATTGCTTGGTAAATTTACTATCTCAGATGCATCAAATAGAACTCACAATTGGACATCTTTGAAAAAACAATTCTTAAGATATAAAGTAGTTTCCATGCTTGTCACTAAATCACAAGATTAATAAGTGAATATGCCATTGCATTTAGTATGATGTACAGGTGGTGGTATAGTTCATCATAGCCATACATGCCTTCATATTGTATGAAATCATGCACGCTTTTGACAAATCCTTTAGCTGAGAACAAATACAAAGTTTGAAAGAACACAATTTAATAAAAGTGCATCATTCGGGGGAATCCATAAATTATGGATTAAAGCTTTCACAAATCATGGTGCAAATGAGACAGCTCTCAAGATTAAAGTTAAAGATGTAAGAAAATAGAGACTGTACACAAAGCCTTACACTTGAACGTGTGTACGTATTTGACCTCCACCTTCTTGAAGTAACAGGAGCGGTTCAAAAGAGACCAAATTATGCAAATTCATTCAAACACAACCAGTCAGAGGACAGAAAGGAGAAAAGGAGCCACTCATTCAAGTGGTATAACCCCCTTGAGCTCATTGACCAATCTTAAACTTGAAATGTTTATGCAGCAATAGTGCCTGGTGAACAAATTTTAGTAAAAGTACAGTGGGTGCTGGGAATCTTAAATAAAAACAGACAATGCTGGAGCAACTCAATTGGTCTAGTGCCAACAATGGCGAGAAAAACAAAGTTAATGTTTTGTGTCTAGTATGATTCATTTATTATAACTGAGGGAGGTGAAAAAGTCATGTTCTGTTTTAATGCTTTTCAAAAGTGGAGATCAAGTGGAACAGGAGGGTAAAGTGCCCAAGAAAAATGCAAAATGAATGCTAATACAGCATCTAAGGTAGTGAAGGAGTGATATATAGATGAAGACTAAGTGTTAATAGCCTGCTATCGGGTCTGCTGAGGGCAAACTCATGCAAGTGAGACACAATGGGGAAGATGTGGTGCTGTTCCTCCAGCTTATGTTAGGTTCACTGGAGCACTGTTACTGTAAAACAAGTAGGGCCTTAAACCGAATGAAAGAAAGAAATTTGGCAGAAACCACCATAACCACAAGTTGGCAGTAATTGGGATTATAGCATATGAAACAACTTGGATTGTATGCCTTGTTGTAGTGTGGTGGGTGGGGTGAATGACTCAGGGACAGGGAGGAATTTTGCATTGATCAACTAACTCCTTGGCCTTGAAATATTTTATTATTTTAAATGCAAGTTGTTGTTTTTCTCCTTAATTATTTTCTTTTATGGGTTAAAGAATTAGCTGTAGCTTTACATTTTATAAGAAATCAGCGTTCTTGTTGTTCTCATCTATATGAGAGGAGCGAGACACGGGAGAGAAATCTTTTTGCAGTCTTTACTTTTCTTTTCTAGACAAATCTTTTGAATTTTGAAAGTAAATGAAGACTTTTTTTTTTGCTAGAAGGGATATGAAGTCTGAGAAAATAGAAAGGTTCATTGCTTCAATTTTCACCTGAGAGACTTGAGCATCTAATATATACAACTAGGCGCAATGCAGTGCTGAATAGGTGCTGGACCATCAAAAGTATGTTGCCTTTTGGATGAAACTGAGGTACAGTCTGCTCTTGGACAATGAACCTACAGGATAGCTTGCAATATTCCAAAAATAAAGGAGGAGTTTGCCCAGGCCAGTATTAATTGTTCGAGCAACATAAGTAAAACAGATGGCCCAGTTATTTATCTCGTTGCTGCTCCTGGAACAGTTTACACAAATTGATTGTGTAAGTGAAGATCTATGAGACGCTGTTTACTGACTGTGAAGCATGATGGGTTGTGAAAAATGATATATAATCTCATTCCTCCTGTTCCTTGAAAGGACCAGAAACTCTTTCCAATGCTGTTAACTCAAGAATAAAAACTCTTCAAATAGTGCTGCAAGATATTTAATATCCAATCAGGGACCAGCCAGAGCTGTGGTTTAATATTGCTTCTGAAAATGTGCTACTTCATACCTTATGGCATTATCTCAGTATTGCATTGAATTAGCCACCTTGGAATGGTGATAAGACCATACCCTTCTGATTCAATGGTAGAATACCACTGTTGAGCCTCAGCTAATTCTTTTAGCTAGGGAGAGAGTAGAAGGGGTGGGAGATAGGCTCTGGGATAACCAAACTAGCCATGGGAAGATGCCAAATGAAGTGTAGCACAAGAGGGCAGGGTGACCATCACAAAGGATGAATAATTTGAACTCTTCTTCATGAAAAAGAAGTGGAAACAGACTCTTTGAATATGTTTTAAGACTGAGATGGCTAGATTCTTGGTAAGCAAGTGGGTGAAGGGTTCACGGACAGGTGGAAATGGGAATTTGATGTTATGATCAAATCGGACACGGTCTTATTAGATAGCAGAGCAGCTTGAGGGACCAAATGACCTACTCCTGCTCACTGTTTGTATGTACATCCGTCTTTTCCAACAAGACAATCCCTGGTTGATGTACAGTGCCCGTGGGCAAATAGTATGCCCGGAAGAGATCTCAGTTCATGAAACTCAAGCCAGAATGAACACTCTAACAATGGCGGCTCGGCTTCTAATCCGGAAGCAGTGTACCCAGGGCTGCCCTATGATTGATCAATAAAACGAGAAAGGGCAGTTAGTGAGGAGTGTTCCCATTGGGTGGGAGGAGTACCATATTGAAGACTGGATTCATGATGGTCATGTCTGTTGACCAGTGTTCATACCCTGCATAGCCCATCAAACCATGGATCCTTCCCAGATTTATGCACACTTGTCCTATGAAATTGGGCTGAAGAAAAATTGACCCCAGAGCCTAAAATTTAGCCACTCTATGTACCACTGGTAATAGGACAGTGATGAGAACTGGGTTGTGTCGATATTCCGGGAGCTGGATCAGAGTGTGCCCAGCAGTCGCCGATAATGTGGGCTAACATCAGGTCTGCTTGTCCCTGAATTTAAATGTTAAAAATACAATCCAACCTAATCAAGGACAGAGTATTTTAAATTGTTCTGTTTTGCTAAATGACAAACTATTTACTGCACTGCAGTATTTTCTTCTGCTTGCTCTATGTTTCTGCAGGATGTGTGGAAGCACAGTGACCGAAATCATCAGCTACAGAGGGAACTGAGCAGTAAGGAGCAGGACTTAGAAAATATCATTCAAAAGCAGAAGAAGGTATGATGTGAAGACCTCAAGTCCTTTTCAAATTACTGGGTCACCTGGTTTTCACTTTGGGATTTGTTTGTTTTCTTTGTCATAGGGAGAATTCTGTGGCCAAAAAAATAAGCTCCTCTCATGATGTCGCATTTGAAAGCAAGTGTATTCATATGCAGTTTATTCTTGATGTACCTATGTGAATTGGGCACCATATCTAAAATGTTCCACAAAGATTGCAGATGAGTTGTCCTACCTTTGATGGTTTCAGTAAGCACTGGATGTTTGTTCAAGCTAAAGTGTGGGAGGCAAAAAAAAAAGACACAGACAAGACAGTTAAATGGCTGTATGGGCAATCTGTTTGTGAGGTAGGAGAGTTTGAGCCACACAAGATTGTGTATAATGGAGCAACTTAGCTATTCTTATCTGGCCTTTCCCTCCTTGTTTTATTTTCCTCTCTCCAATCAGTCTTCCAAAAGATTAGAGGTTTTGTAGGGTCTTGACTGAAGGACTCATATTGCAAAGGGATACTCTTATTCTTGTATATTGGGTACTATTATTTATTTAAAAGGAAAAAAGCTGCAACACAAAGGGACTCGAGGGTAATTGTATTCAAAACAGAAAACTGGCACACAGGTGCAGCAGGTAATCAGGAAAGTGAATGGAATGTTGGCCCTTATTTCAAGGGGTTTGGAGTATGCGTAAGGAAGTCTTACTACAACTGGACAAGGTGCTGGTGATACTACATCTGGAATACTGTGAGGTGTTTTGTTCCCCTTATTTAACTTGATTTGTACCAATGTATAGTGAAAAGTTTTGTTTTGCATGCAGTACAGGTAAGTCATACTGTACAAAGATCAAAAGGTGATAGAACAGAGCAAGGTTTACAAAATTAGGGCTCCAAAGAAGGTGCAGTAAAAGCAAGATCAATATTAGACTTGAAGGGTCCATTCAGAAGTCTAATAACAGCAGGGAAGAAGCTGCTCTTAAATCTTTTGGTATGGTAAGCTTTTGTATCTTCTGCCTGACCAAAGGGTTCAGGAGAGATTATAACCAGGGTGGGAGGGGTCTTTTCCTGCCCTTTTTGTGGCAGCAAGAAGTGTAGATGGAGCCAGTGGATAGAAGGTTGGCTTGCGGGATGTGTGACGTTGTTTGGGGAAAGATATCCTTTCATTGGAGACAGTGCAGAGAAAGTTCAATGATTCCAGATACAGGGGTTATCTTATGAACGAAGGCTAAACAGGTTGGGATTCCACTCACTGGAGTTTAGAAGAATGGGAGGTGATCTCATTGAAACATATAGAATTCTTAAGAGGTTTGACAGGGTGAATGCTGAGAGTATATCTCCCTTCATGAGAGCCTAGGATCAGATGGCGTAGTGTCAGAATAAAGTGGCTCCAATTTAAGACTGAGAAAAGGAGGAATTTCTTCTCTGAGCGTTGAGAGTCCTTGGAACTCCTTGCCACAGAACGCTGTGGGGCTAGAGTCCTTGTGTATATTCAAGGCTGAGATCAGGAGGGAAACACACACGAAGGTGGATATGAGAAATGTTGGATCAGTCATCATTCTATCAAATGGCAGAGTAGGCTCGAGGGGCCGAACAGCCTACTTCTGTTCCTACTTCTTATGGCTTTATAGTTTTATTAAGTAGCACAATACGCATCTAAACAGAAGACTGACTGCTTGTTTTTTGAGTGGGGGGAGGTTGTGGCCAAATGGGGTGATTAGCACCCCTTCAGCAGAGAAAAAAGTGAAGACAATAGCTTTTCATTTGCGGTTTGGTTAGCAGCAAGTCATGAGAATGCATCTTGTTCTTTGGCTACAGCTCAGTGCCACTGCTACCAGTGAGTTCATTCTGAAAGTATGGAAATTTAAGGCCTAGCTAATGATCTGTTGTTTCTGTGTGTTGAGGTGAGGGGTGCAGGAGAAGGGGGATCAGTTCCAGGAGGCCTGATGCTGAAAATAAGATTTGGCTCCAGAAACTTTGATATTTCAAGAATACATAAAAATTTTGACATTCCCATGTGGAATGAGCTTTAGTAATGTTGGTGGAAAATATCTACAGGTGTAATTCTCTGTTAGTAAATATTTCAATAATTCTTCTCCTCTTCTGGAGAAGTTTGGATATTTCCTTCCTTGAACTTTTAGCAGATTTGTACAATTTCACAATTGAAGTGAGGCCTGTCTTCTCTGGAACAAATGGTAGTCTTGAAAGTTCAGGTAAGAGTTGTATCTTATACAGAGAACTGCAGACTAAATTCATTTCAGATTGATGCTGCCTGGCCTGCTGTGTTCCTCCAGCTCCACACTTTGTTATCTCTGACTCCAGCATCTGCAGTTCTTGCTATCTCATTTCAGACTGATGTTGTGATTTATCCACTGGTAATTCACTTTATTAAGGATAAATCATTTAATATCCTCGCCAAGTGAACAAAATAGCACATGTTAGCACCTGTCCAAAACTTACTGTGCCTTGGTAGAATGAGAAATTGTGAAGTGCTTCTCCATGTCTCCCAATGTTTCTAATGTGGTATTTTTTCCTTGTTTTCAAACTGTGGCATCTCTCTTCCATTTTAATTTATAGTTCTCTTCCTGCCGAATACAACCCTTACCCCCCGTTTTACAACTATGCCTTTGTACAAATGGCTTACTGCTGAACAGATATGAGTGGCCTTATGCATACGATCTTCTTGCAACAATGCTTCGATTTATTTATTGGTCCCTAAACCATCCTCGGGAGTAAAATGTTCCTCTGACTTATGCGCTCATGACAATTCTGCAGTGATTAAAAAGCCTGGGTTTCAAAAGCTTTGCTTATTAGCAGTTTTGAGAAGGGCTTTTGAGAACACGATTGAAACAAATCGTTTCCACAGCTTAAGCCTCTGCCTTTGTTTAAGGGGACAATGTAAAAATATATCAATGATCTTGGAGAGACTTGTCCTGTCACCTTAGCAGTGGGCCTGTCACTGCTAGAATCTCATTGGATCTTGCTCACACTGATTCCTGTGGAGAAACCAGTAATTTCATAATGCAGAATGGAAACTGCCATACCCCCTAGATGGCCCTGATTTGGTTTCGTAAGCAGGGTCTCGATTTGACATCTAGAGGTCTTGATGCATGCAAGCAAGTAAAACCCTGGAAATTGTTTCTTTGTTGGTTGAGTTTCAAGCTCCTGATGTTTGTTCAAAACAATAGTGAATGAACTGCACAACTGAAAGAATTGGACTATTATTAAAGTAATCCATCTTAGTCTAAACAATTCTCATAGCCAGTAGCACTTTCTCTCCCTAGTTCATTGGGGTCTGATTTTAAAATTGCTCAAGCTCCTGGTTGTTCACTTGTCTCATCTCCGACAAGAGAGAATCTGACTATCACTCCATGACATCCGACAGCATTACCGTTCTCCACTATCAACATGCCAGAGGTGTTATCATTAACCGTAAGCTGAACTGGGCCAGCCATATAAACACTGATTACTACAGCAGGTCAAAAGCTGGGAATCTTACAATGAGAAACTCCACTCCTGATTCCAAAAGCCTGTCCACTATCTATAAGGTACAATTCAGGAGTGTGATGGAATATTCCCCACTTGCCTGGATAAGTCCATCAACGCTCAAGAAGTCTAATGCCATTTAGGACAAAGCAGCCCACTTGGTAAGTACCAGATCCACAAACATTCACTGCCTCCAGTTCTGGCACTCAACAGCAGAAATGTGCACCATTGACAAGATGTGCTGCAGAAATTCATCAAGCTTCCTTAGGCAGCACCTTTCCAACCCACCATCTAAAAGGAGAAATATTTGGAGCGCCACCACCTGCAAGTTCCCTTCCAACCCTGTCACCATCCTGAATTACAGATATGTCATTTTTTCTTCAGTGTCACTGGGTCAAAGTCTGGACATCTGTGGGTTTATCTATGGGAAATGGAGTGCAGTGCAGCTCACCACCTTCTCAGTGACAACTATGGATGGGCAATTAATACTGGCCAAGCCAGCAAAGCCCACATTCCATGAATGAATTTTTAAAAAAAATAGTAGTAAATTGGTAACTAAATTCTTCAAAGTCAAAATCCAAAACATCTGTGTCACTTCCTATATTCTACACATGAAATTTCCTCCCTAAACATCTCCATCTCTCTATTGCTGTCTCCTTCCTCAAAATACTAGGTAAAGCATACCTCTTTGATTAAGTTTTTGGTCATCTTTCTTTAAGGTCAGAAATCACAAAACCTTGTCCACCTCAGCCCAACATCTCCAAATCACCGCTTTCTCTAATATCTTCTCATGTGGCACTTTTGTCACACTTTTGCTTCTTAGTCCATGAAGCATGTTGAAATGTTTTGATACATTAACATGGAGTTTTATGTAAAAATGCAAATTGTCGGACGAACTGAACTCAGCTGAAGTGTTACAGAAACCTCTGTGATTCCGGACAAGTGAACGGAATACGAGTAAGATTCCGATAAATACAATTGGGCTGAGACGGGATTGGCCTACCTTTTTAATATCATTTCACAGTCTGAAAAGTTAGCAACAGCCAGTGGAAAGGCTTCCTGTGCAAGACACCAGAGGTCTATGACACACACTTGGAATCATATACCAGGGAAAAACGGAGAAAGGAGAAAAGATTAGGGGGGGATAAATGAATATGTCCACTTTCTGCATGAAATCAGGACAGTCTTTCAGCACCAGGGAGCTGAATTTGATTCCAGCCTTGGGTGACCGTCTGTGTGGAATTTGCACATTCTCCCCGCGTCTGCGTGGGTTTCCTCCGGGTGCTCCAGTTTCCTCCCACAGTCCATAGATGCACAGGTTAGGTGATTGGGCGATTTAGCATGGCCAGGGATGTGCAGGTTAGGTTGATTAGCCGTGGGAAATGCAGGGTTACAGGGATAATGTAAGGGGTTGGATCTGGGTGGGATGTTCTTTGGAGGGTCAGTGTGGATTCGATGGGCCGAATGGCCTGATTCCACACTGCAGGCATTCTATGATTCTTCCTTGAATTAGCAGTCTAGCCAATTG